GCCACTACCCTCACTGCCCTTCCCTTCATACAGTGGGACCTTTGGTCCAGGGTGATGGGCCGTGGAGCCTTTAGCATGGCAGCCAAATGAATATGCCCTTCTAGGTTTTTGAGATGCTACTCAGAGAAGAGTGGTCCATTTGGTTCATTGGTGTATCTCCAGTAGTTAGCACATAGCAAGTCGTAAATGTTTGTGAACAAATGACTCTTACCATCTTACAAGATCCTATCCTTGAGAATCCTGTCCATAACTCCCTCTCTGAATAAAGGACTCCTCCATAAGCACCCAGTCCCCTTATTTCATGGTGCCAAACTCTAGGTCCCTGCTAATAATGCCAGTAACCCATCACAAGCTTCTCGGTACAGACTGTGTGACTCAGTCCTGCAGGCCTCCGGTATCAGAGAGGCACTCGATAAATGTCCATGGACTTGAATACACAGATGCTATTGTGCTGCTCAGAAATTAGGCGTACATGGTTATTCTTATAAATGATTGTAATTTGGGTTACATTTGTGGCATTAAACCAAATTTTAGCTTTTCTCTATGAACTTTTTTTAGTTTTTAAATATCCATAATTTAGTGTTGCTATCCATTCTGGCACCATTTTCCTTTGTATCTCTCTTGCTCAGCCGTTACAGAGCGCTGAGTGTGCAGTGGGCACGGTGTGTGCCGCTCTGCACCTCAGCTGCCATCTTTGGCGCTGTACCCAGGCTGGCTTGCTGGGGAGGCAAATCCCATGTTGCACCTCTCCAGCTCCCAGCCCTGATCTCACCCTTACCTGACTTCTGCGCAGGAATGAGGAACTTCCCCCACATTCTGCCAGCTGTTCTCACCCTGCTTGTCTCCATTAAAGCTCTGGGGAGAGAAGAGGCGGACCTAGAAGTTCATCTGGGGAGAGGAGAAAGGGGAACTCTGGGCAAAACAAAGCAAGAAATGGTAGAGTCTTCTGGAGCCAGAGAGAAGGAAGTAGACATCAGCTGAGTCCCTGAATATGCCCACCACTTTCCTGTCCTCATTCCTGTGGAATCTGTGAGCTCATAGCATCATCCCTTTTCCCCTGAATAATCTTGCAAGTCATGGAGGCTGAGCACCCCGTGATTGGAATGGAGGAATTCGAACCTAACACCCTGGCCATAAAAACCCAGGCTTTGTGCTGTGTGCTGCCCCACTACACATATTTTAGGAAGAGATTCTTTCAGGCATATGTAGGACTCAGAAATGAAAGTTGGAAATGGGATGACTATTCCAGCTAAGATGTGATAACTTGACTTTGGTGGGGGCATAGGGGACTCAAGAACAAATAGGAGAGAAGGAAAGCCAGGCCAAAAGCTGTGTCCCTTCTAATTCAACCATGACACCCCTTACATGCTAACTAACAAAGATGGCAAGAGCCCCAGAAAATGTGGTGGGGGTGGCGGTTATGGTCATAACCCTTCCTGGACACTCAGGGCAGCACCAAGCAGGGCCAGTTGCTCTTAGCTGCCCTGTTCTTGGGGAGAAGCCTTACTGACCCCTGGTGGAGCTCAGAATTCCTCCTGCACCTGTTTCCTTCTTGTTTGTCCACAGGGAATGGTGGTGACTCCTTTCAGCTCAGAAAGTAAATTAAGCAAATAACAACTTCAGGACTGCACATGAAAAGTGCAGAATAATTAGAATATAGCTTGGGCATTTGTTTCCTTTTTAATCATCGTGACAGAGCAATATCCTGATTATGTTGTGGGTAGTTGGATGATTCATATTTCTTAGCCAAGAAAGACACCATTAGGTTTTTCTAAGCTTGTTTAGACCGAAATCCATGGGGACAAAGGACAGCCATATTCTTTTCCCTTTCTTTTTCTTTTTTAAAATATGTGTGCTGCTGAACTGAGCATGTCTTTTCCCTTTCTTATCATTGATGACTTGTTGTAAGTATTCACAGGTTGGAGCTTCCCCCAGTAGCCTGTCCTAGGTGCCCTGGCAGGGACACTGAGATGTAAGCAGAAAGTAGTGTCTACCTGTCATGGTACGCCATCCCAGCCTCACATCCACCCCAGGGGCTGAATTCACTGGGATTCTAACTAAGATGAACATATCATTCATTATCCAACCCAGAACTTTTTTGGGGGGGTACCAGGGATCGAACTTGGGTCCTTGTGCTTGCAAGGCAGGCGTCCAAACCACTGAACTAAATCCCTGGCCCCCAGAACATTTTTGTCTAGAAAAGGGCTGCTCTAAATTTTGCCAGAATGACCTGCAGGAGACAGGCCATGGGGGAGAACGGAGACTTGTGGTCATCTTAACTGCGGGGCTTCTGCCCCTGTCACTTTCCCCTTTTGCTGACTCCAACTGAGATGAGTATGCGCTATACGCATCCTGTTCATCCAGTAAGTGTTCACTGAGTGTTTTCTGTGTGCCAAATTCTTGCCTATGTTGTATTGTTTTTCTCCTCACAACCACCTGTGAGACTATTACTGTTAATATTCCTGTTTCTATAAGTTTATTTTTTTCCATTAGGTTTATTGGTACATTTAAAGCAAACAGTACGGTTACATTTATCACTGGATCTTGTACCTTTACATGACCGGTCTTGGTTCTTGTTTTTCCCCCATACCCATGCCCTCCCTTCACCTCCTTGACCCTTCCCTATTTATAAAGACTTTGTTTCCATTTTTCCATTTTTTCTTTTCCCTTATTTCCTTTCCCCTCCCCTTCCTACTTCCCCTTTAGCCATTTTCTTCCTATTTCACACTCTCAGTTATACCATTTGAACCTTATTTACACTTTTATCTATAAATTTAAAAACCTGAGAACTTACATTAATAAATGACTTCCCAAGGTCACAGTACCTGTAAAACAAAGCTAAGACCGGAATTCAGGCTGCTCTTGCCCTTGAGCCGTAGATGCTCTGAACTGTAGCCATATTGTAGACTGGTTTTGAGTCTTCTTGCAGGGCTGGTCCCATGTGACACTGTCCCTCTAGAAAGGTCTCAGAGGCGTATCCCCAAGTGACGGGGGAGCCCAGACCCACACTTACTGGCTTTGCTCTTCACTCAGTTTCCTTGTCTCTGAAATGGATACACTGGCTTCCCATCATGGAGGTGAGGGTAAGTGAGGTAAACTTTGACGTGGGGGAACAGTGCCTACTTTTCTGTGTCAGATGATATGATTGTGTTTTCCTGTTTTCTGCTATTAAAGTAGGGGTAATATAGATGTTCTCCGAATCAAGAGAGTTCGGCTTCTTTTTGGAGCTAGGAGGGTAATAACAAGGCCAGAGCACCAGGCTGAAGTGAGTGTGTAGAGCCTGTGTTGGGAGCCAGAAGAGTCCAGTGGGCTGCCCTGTGAAGAGGTGGGGGGCTACTGAGAGCTCAGACGCAGGGCGCTGCAGGCTTTAATAAACAGTGAGTTAGGCTGGGGGTGTGCATCCGGGCATGGCTGGCGTATCTGCCTGGAGAAACAGCCCAGAGATGAGGAAGGGAGCTGCAGGAGGGGCAGGCAGGCTAGCGGACAAGCAAGCATCTCTGCTCCAACCAAGGGCTGGCCCTGCCTGGGCCATAAGTCAGCCTGGTATCTGTGATCTCCTCATCCCCTCAGGCAGCGTCCCTGCAGTGTGCACAAGTACAGGGGAACCGTGTGGGGCTTTCACAGCCTTTCCTAGGGTGGGCCCTGCTCCCTCCTCTGGGTCCATCTGTAGAAGGCACTGTGTGCTCACATCTGAGGCCGTTACCCAGCCTTTGCCTCTGGCACTTGAGGCTCCATGTGTGAAGTGCTTACTGGGTTGCTGCTTTTGTCGTTGGCATTTTGGTGGAGTTCCCCTGACATAGCATGATTAGCAATTTGGGAAAGAGGTACCCAGGCTGCCTGTGTGACTGGAGTGGAGAATAACACTGGATTCAGCATTGGTCACATTAGGACAGCGGCTGCATTTCTTCAGTTTGTTTCCAAGTTCACTTTTGGAAACTTTGTAAGCTGTACTTTGGGAGCCATCCTTTGGCTCCTGTGGAAGTGTAGGGGCTGCTCACCTGCCCCTTCTATCCCAGAAAAGTGATCTCTTCAACAGGTGCACAATTTAGAAGGGATGTGGGGATTCAGAGAGAGGTAAGAGACCATAGCTCAGGCCAGCCCACCGGCCAGCAGCCCTGGTGATCATGATGGGCACAATAGCCTGATCACACGCACACGAAGGGGATTTTGCCGAAGACATCTTTGGATTTTTGGCTTGTTCAAATAAGCGCATAAGGCTTTTTAAGTGAAAATGGAAAATGAATATCAGAACTTGAAAAAGGAAGATAGAGACATGGTTTCAGGGAAAATACCTCCCAAGGGTAGTGAGCAAGTGAGCTTTGTGCTCTGATGCATCTCACAACTCCACGCATCGCACGGCACTTCAGCGTTCAGTCCTGTAACACATGCTATTTCACCTCAGGCCTACTTGTTGCTTTTTCTCCATTTTCTTCCCTTTTTGGGTGTTACACATTGTGTTGCATTGTTACGAAAAAGCACTCTACATGTACTTAATTCATTCTCTCTCTTGGTTTCTTTTCCTAGATGCTTAACAGTTCTCATGGGGTTGCATTTCTTACTATTGAAAAACAAGCCTGGGGCTGGGGATTTAGCTCAGTGGTTCTGCCACCTGCCTTGCAAGCGCAAGGACCCAAGTTCGATCCTTGGTACCAAAAAAAAGAAAAGAAAAAGAACCTGCCGTAACATAGATCATAGGAGCAGGAAAATTTTTATACCCCTTACTTAGCTCAATAGGGTACACCTGGTAATCTGAGGGAAAAACAGCTGAACACACTGCACAAATTAAGCAAGAACATTCTGACAATTTATTCATTGCAGAAAGGAATCATAATTTAATTCTCCAACAGTAGAAGATTAGTTAACCAAATCAGATGGTCAAACTTAGTGAGGCATTTGAAGGCGCATTAAACATAACCTATGGTGCCCAAAGGTTTTGGTGTGAACTGACGTGGATTGACGTGGACCGGAGATTCATTTCCTGCCTCTGCCTTGCCTTCCAGTGTTTTGCTGTGCGCTCTCTGGGGTGGGTAGAGATGGCAGAGGAGGACCTCGCCCCAGGTAAAAGCAGCGTGGCTGTCAACAATTGCATCAGGCAGCTTTCGTACTGCAAAAACGACATCCGTGACACGGTTGGCATCTGGGGAGAGGTAAGCAGTGCGTGGACATAATTAATGGCCAGCTCCTCCAGAGCCCCCTCCCACAGCTCTGTGAGACATGGAACAAGGGGCTGGGTGTGTGTCAGCTGTGTTCCCCGCAAAGCAGACAGTGTCTGCACGGCACACCCAGGTGACCGCTGTCTGCACTGCGGCATCCCAGCGTGGACTGAGGCCCTGCGTGAGAGTATTTCTCAGCCTCCTGATATTCTCTGGTCCTCACAGATCCATGGTCCCAGAAGCCTCTGAATTTTGTGTGCAAAATGGTTGTGCCAGTCTATTTAGGACAGTTTCCTGGGAGAAGACACACTGCTTTCTCAAAGTATATTCTTTTTCTTTTCTTTTCTTTTTGCCTCTAGCAGTACCGGGGGTTGAACCACCCGGGCCTGCATCCCTGGCCCTGTTTTTATTTTTTTTTGTATTTTTCTATTGAGACAAATTCTCATTAAGTTGCCCAGGTTGGGCACAGACTTGCCATTCTTCTGCCCCAGCCTCCCAGAGTTCAAAGTGTATTCCTCAAAGGAAGATGTGACCTCCGTGCACACTTGCAGAAGCACACTGATGCCACGACTCTGGAAGGTGACCAATTAATCCTTTGCAGTACACCTTTCTTTATTTCTAGTCTGGAAATCTACATTATGCATGAGTTGTGGAATTGATGCCCATACATTCTCTCTTACTTTCCACAGAATGATTCCATTTTAACTGAAATAATTGCAAAAAAGAAAGTAATAGGAAGAACAGCGTATTTGTATAAAAGTCACATTAAGCAGGAAAAGCCATATTGCTACTGTACTTAAGACCTGCAAAAATTGGGGCACCTTAGTGTAGTGCTTGTTGCACAGACCCTGTCTGTGTCCAGTTAGCAGAAGGTGGGAGCGAGCATTTGGCTTCCAGACTGGGCTGTGAAATTCACTCACTGTGGGAGGTAGGTTCCCGACCCTGCCAGTGGAGCTCCGTTCACTCTGAGAACCTTCGATAGGAATCTCAAATGTCGCTCTCAAGAGCTTTCTCATGTGTGTGATGCACACCTGTAATCCCAGTACTCAGGAGACTGAGGCAGGAGGATCGCAGTAAGCTGGGGGCCAGCCTGAGTTACATAGTGGGACCCTGTATCAAAAAAAGGAACTTTGCCGGAGAGCAATTGGCTGCTCTTGCTTTGGGATGAGAAGGCCCACAAAGAAGCCTCCCTGTGCTGCCTGAGGATTACACATGGAAGGAATGAAGTTGAATAATCCTCTTGTCCTCAGAGGGCCAACGGCTATGGGGTCACGGAACACCAAAGCTTCCAGACCTCAACTGCAACACAAGAGCTGAGAAACCGAGACGCCGCCTTGTCTTGGTGATACGGCAGCACCTAGCTTCTGAGTCAGACCATGCACAGGTCATTCAACCTCTCGACCTCAGTTTCTCCCAATGCTAGAGATAACAAAGCCAGCTCTTGTAGGATCATTTAGAGCATTCCCAAGCCAGGGCACCTCAAGCACCCAAGGTATGTGTGTGTGATACAAAGGCAAATAAATGTGAACCATCAGCACTGAGAAATGTTACAGAGCCCTGTCTGCTGGCTGCAGTTTCCTAAAGGCTGAGGGGATACCTGCGAGAGTCTGACCAGGGCAGTGGGAGAGAATGCTTTTCAGAGTCTGATGTGTATGGAGTATATAAAATAATATATATGCTCCAAGCCTCCGCATTGCCTTTCTTCTTAAATATGCAGATCTGTAAATAATTAAAACTAAGAGCCGGCTAGGAAGCAGCTGGAGACATGCTTCAGAGGACTTAGAGAACAAGAGAAGGGTTGGGGACCTGGGGGAGTGGGAGGGTGAATGAATATTTTAGTCTGGAAAAGAGGAATCCCTTTTGGGAAGATAAATTGTTGACCCAAGGGGTGACCTCTGTGGGGCACTGAAACAATGCCCCAAGGTGGCTGTAAGTGTGCTCAGTACGTGGGACCTGCATGAGGAAGACAGAGTGTTTCTTGTTGCCCCCCAGGGCAAAGACATGTACCTGATCCTGGAGAACGACATGCTCAGCCTGGTGGACCCCATGGACCGCACCGTGCTACACTCCCAGCCCATCGTGAGCATCCGCGTGTGGGGCGTGGGCCGAGACAACGGCCGGTGAGTCCCAGGGCTGTCCCCGTCCCTGACTGGGCCCCGTTTCAGCTTCATACCACAGTGTGGTCTTACAGTGCCTTACTGGATATGAGACTTGGCAGAAAACTGCTAGGTAATGTAACAAATTAGAGCGCAACTCTGTTTCCCTGCCCAGAAGCCCTGTGAGGCACATCCCTTGGTGTTTTCTGTAGCTCCAATCTTTTGTCAGCTCTGGCTCCTGCTTTGAGTTCTGGTATTTCTCCTCCTCATCATCTTCATTCTACTAAGTTCCCAGCTCTCCTGGCAATCTGAACCCTTTATTTTCTCCTTTCTGCAGTCTTCTTCTAACCAACTCTGTTTCAATCAGTTGAATCCCAGCCACTTCACCTGCTTGCCTAGTGGCATTTGCTTCGTAGAAGCTCTCCTTGGAAAGATAAGGTTGCACAGCCTTTAATCACCGAATTTAGATCACAAAATCATGAGTATTTGGAATTTCTGGGGTTGGAGTTGGCTAAACCTGTTAACACTTAAAATGTTTGGTCATATCAAAATTGCATTCCAAAAAAAATTGCATTCTGTGTGTATTTTTGTGGAATTCTATTGAAAATGTGTTATTAATGGGTAAATGTGTTATGAATTTTTTATTCTCCAAGATACCTGGAAAAAAGGATATCCCAATTTTCAAGAACATAACTGTAGCTAATAATGTAAGCAACAGTTATCACAGGCATCATACTTGGACACCACCGATAAGTACTTGGACTATGTTAAATGTAGTTAACCTTAAATTATGGTCAGTCTTTGGCAATTATCATGGTCTTGGAGGGTCTCCTATCATTTAGGTCAAGCTATACAATGTATAATATTGCTTTGTTGAAAATGGACAAGAGTATTACAAAAGCGGGTGAAAATCCCTGACAAGAGATGGTTCACCCAGGCTCATGGGTCCATTCTGGGCATTCTGGTTTTTTATCAGGTTGTCTCGTCCTCTCTAAAAAGCAAAAGGGGACCTGCCTTATTTCCTCACGGCCTTTCGCCATGAATGCTGGGCATTGATGCATTTGATTAACCTCAGGTTTAGTTCTATACTCTAAACTACAGAGGAAAGACTGTGGCTAAATATTGATCTACAGAAGAGAGAAGTGTTGTCTGACTACTGACTTGGATGAACCTTCCTGGGCACGGAGTGCATTTGAGATTTTTGTAACAGTAACACGTGCTGACCACGGGGATGGGAGCTGCAGGTGAATGTGTAGACAGATTCTGAGTATGCACCTGTTGTTTGCTTGCTGGGCACAGCTGTACCCCCCTGGACCTGATACTTTGACATCATGTGAATACTTTCATGAGGAAACTCTGATGACATTGGGTAATCACTGAAAACATTCAATCTTGGCGGAAGATGCTAGGTACAAGATGGTTGGTCTTTCCCAGGTCCTTTGCCCCTGCAGTTTGTTTGTAAGACAGAAGCCAAGATTTGTACAACCTGGTGTGGTTACATGAGGATTTTTTTGGTTTTGGATACCAAGGCTTGAACCCAGGACAATGAACATGCTAGGAAAATGCACAAATGCTGAACTGTACTCCAAGCCTGGTTGTGTATTTTTAAATTTTAGTTGTTTGTGGATTTCACTGATGAGGATTTTTAGCCCACTCCAACACTTTAAAATGAGTCCAAATGCTATGTGATTGGAAGGATTATTCAAATTCCCAGTTGAAAAAATTATTCACGCTCCCTAACCCTCATTTTCTCTCATCTGAGAAATAATAATCATAGTAAGGAGCCCATCGCGTATGTATATGTGCAAGCATGTGTGTATAATGGCACGGTGGTGGAGACATGGAAAATGCCTAGCAAATATTTGCTCTTGAGTTTTTAAAGCAAAGTACACTTAACAGATGCAGCTGATTGCATGGCTTCCTTTCTGAAATACTCAGGGTGAAGAGTCAGCCACTGGGGAGGCTCCAGGGACAGTCTGTGATATAAGACAGATGAGAGACAAGAAAGAGTTCAGTTGTCCTACACAGTAGCAGGAGCCCCTCATAGTCCACCCCTAGTGATGCTGGGGTACATCAGCTAGCATCGCCTCAGCTGCGTTTTCAGAAATGTGGGTCACTTTTATTCTTCATCTGTGTTGGCAGAGCAATGTAACTTAGAAATATACCCAGCGTTCCTCCAATGGCCTGTCAGGGTCTCAGCAAGCTCTGTGGTTATGGGGGGCCCTTAAGTGGGGTTGCTTCTGGAATAGTAAATAGAGAAGCATGTTTGCCAGGGAAAGGGTCTGTTTCTCCCCATTGGCCCCGAGTTTTTACTGACTATAAAGGACCTTTGTATTCCTGCTTTTTAAAAAAACTTTCCTTTGCTTTTGATGTGTGTGCGTGTGTGTGTGTGTGTGTACACACACACACACATATATATGGCAATTTACAAGAGCAAATTCAATTTGTAATTCAGCAAAGGGAAGAAGTTTTCACTTTGCATGAATAAAACATAAAAGTGTTTCATTTTTCTGGGGAAAATGAGCCCATTTCACATTCTTTTTTGTAACTTTCCTTGCTGAGAAAATGGAATCTCAGAGGGGATTTCTAGACGTGGTTAAAATGAACAAGAAAAGTGTGTATACCAGGCACTGGGGACATAAAACCTCCCTCCAAAGGCAGTGTACTTTCTTCTCTTAGCCATGTAATTTCAGAATTTCAGAGAGTGTTTGTGTTTAGCATTTTCTTAAGAACTTCAAGTGGTACAGATTTGCCCTGAAGAAATTCCTGAGGCAGTGAGTTTACTGTCAGTGAGGAGGTAGCCTGTAGGGATGCCCCACACTGTCCTAGGTGAGTTGGAGAAGACTCTTGTTGGTGCTTCAGTTCTGGCTCTGGTGCTGTCCTTTCCTTGAGAGCCCTGCCTGTCTCGATTGCTTTGTTGCCTGGTGTAGCAGGGCTGTCTCCCTTCTTGGCCACACCATGCTTTGGGTTCCCCAGTTTGACCCATTCTGTTTACATTGCTGTTCTGAGCAGAGTTCTGAGCCTTATAGCTGGAGTTTTACCCAACTAGGGACAACAGCTAGAACAGGTGGCTGTCTCATCCCCTCTCATCTTGTCTCTGTGGCCCTGCAAGGCCACCATCCCAAGGGTGGGTGGTAAGGATATCACTTCCCTGTTTCAGAGACCAAAGCTGACCTCTAGCTTCAGCATTCTTATTTACTCAGACCCTGAGGAACATCTTTTTCCTTATTCTTTTACAGAAGTGTCAAAGACAAGCAAGTGTAGCTGTGAGTGGGAGCTCACACTTGTAATCCCATCATTCAGGAGGATTGTTATAAGTTCAAGATTACCATGGGCTACATAGTGAGTTCAAAGCCAACCTGAAGAGCATAGTGAGACCCTGTCTCAAAAACAAAACAAACAAATGTAATCACTGAATGTAGGGATCTATTAAGAGGACCCTGTTTTTCCCTTGTGTCAGATATATGTCCATCTTCTAGGAAGGGGCACCTAGATCCTTGTCTCCACTAAACAATATGCAGTGGAGCCTGCTAACCCAAGAGGAAGGAAAATGGGTGGGCAGAATTGTCAGAGGGTTTCAGACCCCATTAGTGGGCAGTGTACCATAGCAGAACAATCAGGTGAGATATCTGTGTATTTTCCTTGGCAGAAAACGAAAAGGTTCACCTAGGATACTAGCTTAAATAAAGCATGACGGGCCCCTTTCCCCTAGGCTGTCTCTCTCTGCAGTGTGCACTGAACCCTCCAGGTGAGCTCCATCTAGGCTTGACTGGACGCCTTGCTGAATTAGTCCACTTGTATTACTATAACAAAATACCCGAGATGACAACTTTAAAGAGAGAAAAGTTTATCTTGGCTCATGATTTTGGAGGTTTTAGTCCATGGCTTGTTGGCCCCGTGGCTCTGGGCCTTTGGGAGATAGCACGTCATGGCGGAAGCCCATGATGGCCAAGACAAAACCGAGGAAGCTGCTCACCTTCTGGCTGGGAAGCACAGCCTGAGGTGAAAGAAGAGTCCAGCGTTCCATGGTCCCCTTCGAGGGCATGTCCCCATATGGCCAGAAGATTTGCAACTACATCCAAGCTTTTCAGGTTCCCCTTCCCTCCCACTAGTGCATGAGCTGGGGACCAAGCTCTCAACACCTGACACTTATCCAGGCCACAGCGCTGTGCTATGTAGAAATGCTACTCACGGAACACTTCGAATGATCCTGCTCTGGTTAGTAAACTCATTCATTTAAATCAGTGGCGACACCAAATTGCAGCTTTTGTTTATTAAGAAAAATTTGAATCACTTTCAGTAAATAACTGTTGCAAGTAGAGATCCTGTTGGCCCTGCTCTAATGAAGATAGAAAATTCCTTCACAATGAGCAGAAGCTGTCAGCTGCCATCATATACAAGCATTTTTAATAACCAGCACTTTCTTCCTCATTTGAATGCTTATGCTGTAATATTGTTTTTGTATATGGTTATGGTTTGTATAACAAACTTTCTCTTCCAAGTAGTTTTTTTACACATCTCCTTTCTGGTTTTGATGAACGATTTTTATTTTATTTTTCCTTATTGAGTTTATTGGTACATTTTAGGGATACAGTACAGTTACATTCATTATTGGGATCTTGTACCTTCACATGACAGGTCTTGGTTCTCATTTCTTCCCCAATGAACAATTTTTAGTAAGATCTTCCAATGTAGTATGGTATTTATAAATTTCCAAAGAGTTCACCTTCGTGATATTTTATCCAATTATCTCAGGAACTATATCTAAAGAATATAATTAGTCTCAATTGTATGGAATATTTTATTTAATATTCTTTTCTCCTAGGATATTCCCAACTGGTTTTATAAAAGACTCTGGTTCGTTTTCAAAGGCTTTTGCCACATCTAGTCCATGCTCTTGTTTTCTTGCCAGTGTGGTTTTGCTGTTTTGTTTCTTTTGAAAACACTTTTTATGAGGGTAGGGGTCCTAAGTAACACTAGGGTAATTTAATCAGAATATACATAACTTCACTGAATAGGTTTTT